AAAACATAAAACAAAGAATATCAAGGCATTTTACATATAAAACATGGACAAAACATTAGATAAATATGGGTGAAACTATCGAATAATATGGTTACATCATGTGCTTTGCACAATAACTACCCAATTATAATTCATTGGTTACTATGCACACAGCATAGTAACCAACTATCTGGCCCAATTTTGTTTTGGGTAGATCTTGGCCTAGTTCTTTTTAGCTAGGCTCGATCCAGTTTTTTTAGGATTTATACTATTTTCTTACGTATTTTTATGCCTTTTTTATTAGTATTGGAATATATTTTTATGTCATTAAAAATACAAAATCTGGTAAGGAACCTTTCTCTCGCTTACAAGGACCAAACTCAAGCTAACATCTAATAGTAACTTGTGTATGATTACCTTTATGATATATCTATAAAAGCTAAAAGAGATTCCCTACTTCAAATTTGATTTGCGCACGAAGGCCAAAGCCAAAAATATTCAAACTAAAAGGGGATTTTGTATTTCAAATTTGATCAACTTTTATTTTTTTTCATATTATCATATAAGACTAAAGGCTTCATGAATGGATGAGCAAAAAAAATATTAGCATATATAAAACATATTTATAGCAAAAAGAAATCAATCTTAATTTCAAATCAAATATGAAATTTATTATTATTATAAAAATAATAATAAGAATTTGTTGCAACTTGAGTAGAATAACTCCAACCTAGAAGTGTATTCGGTATACTCAATAGAAGTGCACTAAACAAGACATAATAAATAGTTATTCTATATGGATTTGACTTAGGTTTTTTATGTTCTTTTTTGAATTAAATTTCTTTTATTTCATCCTTCAATATTGGATTTATTGAAAATTTGACTTCATAATTTTTTTATTTTTTTTATGAATTTATCCCAATTTTAAGACCTAGATTTGATAGGTTAACCCGAGTTCACCTAAGCTTTTTTTAATTGATTTTTTTCAATTTATTCCTTTAATTCATATTTTTTTTATTTTCTTTCTATAGGTTTATTATGGTCTCATAATTCTGGTCGCAGGTTAGCCCAGTTGCTTTAGGGGTTTTTTATCCTTTTTCAATTGATTTTTTTTTAAATTTTATCCTTCAATATTGGATTGATTGAAAAATAAGCTTTATAATTTATTTTATTTTTCTTTCTTTGAGGTTATCCCGGCCTCATTGTCGTAACCTATTTTTTGGGTTATTGTCCAAATTCATCTTTTCTCTTCCAAAAAAAAATCAAAAAAGTATATTCAAAAGAAATCTAAAAAATATATAATTGCAGTGAGAAGAGGATGCTGGAGCACCCAGAAAATGGTTAAAAATTGGTTGAGGAAGTTCACAAATACGAAGATTGAAATTTGACATTTTATTTTTGACAGATGAGAGCTCTATTGACAAAGAAAATTCAATTTAAGAAAAGTCCAAAATTAGATGTGTATGGACTCAATTAAATGTTATTGAAGATTTAATTGAATTTATGGAGGGTTTGATTGCAATAAAAAATTATTTTTAAGTCAATTTGAGTTTTAATTTGAAGAAATTAAAGTTCAAGAGTCAAATTATAATTTTTAAGAGTTGATTTGGTCAAATTAAGGGCTTAATTGCATAAATACTAAAGTTTGATGTTTAATTAGGGACTTGATTGAAGAAATCTGAAACCAAGGACCAAACCAGAAAAGGCATGTAAATAGACGAACTGAAATTGTTTGAATCAAGGGCCAAATTGAAGAAATTAAAAGTTTATTGATCAATTGAAGGTCAAATTGCATAAATTCGAGACCAAGGACCGAAATAAAAAAAAAAAGACAACTAACTTTAGGGCTGACATTTGATTTTTAGTAGGGACGCAATTGAACTGTTTTATAAAATCAAAATTACAATTAAGGACTTGGTTGAACATATCACAAATTGAGGACTAATCTAGAATTTGACATGTTTTGGCGTCATTTTCTTTTACATGAAACAACAAGTTTTATACAAAACAACGTCGTTTCATGCATTGTTCATTAAAAAAAAAGCACAAAGTAGTGTTGTTTTAAATGGCATTATGCTTCTTCTTCCCTAGACACTTAACAGGGGAAGAAGAAGTTTTGTTCACTTGCATTTTCTCTCCCTCTCTCACCTTACTTGCCCAAAACCCTGACATGAACCCACACCCCTCATGACCTGCCACCATCATGGAACGGGCATGGAAGCCATGCCTTGCAGGCGACTCTGGGACTGCATAAAGGTCGTCTTTGCCACCTTACCTTGTCCTCATGACTATAAAGGGGTAGGGTAGCTCCCGCTCCCCCTGCCTCTATAAATACTCCCCTTAACAGATGGTGAGAAAGGGGGGAAATGACAAGTGAGATTATAAAAAGGAGGATGAATGGGACAGTTTTGGAGGAGGAAACAAAGGAAGGGAAAGGAGTGGAAAGAAATGGAATAGAGAAGAAAACAATAAAAACAAACATAGAGGAGAGAATTGGTGGGAGGTAGAAAAAAAAAGGATGGAGGCAAGAAGAACAAAATAAAACAAAGACAAAGAAGAGAATGAAAGAAGAATAGAAGAAAAACCAAAGCAAAAAATATGAAACAAAGAAAGGAAAACAAAAAAAAAACATTGAGAAACAAAAGAGAAAAAAGGAGGAACCACCGCCTGACGCCACAACATCATGACTTTAAGCCACTTTTAATGACATCACCACCATAGTTAGGTCAACCTCCTCCTCCTCCTTCTTCTTCTCCTTTTTCTCCTTCTTCTTTTACGTCATTTGCTGCAATCTCAACTATTCATATGAATAGTGGAGAGTTTTCTCACTGTTCAAGTCCAACCCAAATTAAAATGGCTGGGCTGGGTTCGACCTAGTTCAAAAAAAATATAAAATTGTTTTTTCAAAAATCCTTTTAAAATTTTTAATTTTCCTGCGTATTTTTCTATCAACTTTGCTTAATATTAGTTTGTATATTTATATTGTAAAGATATGAATCCAATATTAAAATACCATATTTTCTCTGAAATATTATGAAAACTTTAAGAAAATATATTCTTTACATGCATACGACCAAGTCTCTCAAAGATAAAAAAAGAAAAAATCATATCATATTTTTATACAATACAAATTCAAAAAATATGTTTTAACATGCATTTTGGACTTTAATAACCACTGTATTAAAAACATGAGAATTAAGCTAATATTTTAACAATACTAAAAAATATTATTTTGTTTTGTTTTAATATCCAGGATTATGAATTTATACATAAGACGTAATCCCAATATTAAAAAAGTAGTTATTTTATATATAGACATTAGAATGGTTAGGTTTTACCTGATAAAATAAAAATTTCCTTACTAAGAAAAACTTATCTTAAACTTTAGACAAGCCAACAATTACAAAACACAATAATACCTTAGCATTTATCAAACAATTAAAAAATACAGCTTACCTTAAGGAAGGCGTATTTTGGGTGCTAATATCTTCCCTTTACGTAACTAGTTCCTGAGCCTGATCTCTGAAACCAGTGAGGGTTTCTAGTGACCAAAATATAAGGTGGCGACTCCTATTCTCTCTTTACACTGATAAAAGACAAGAAATTCTTGTCTCCCCATTTTCCAATATCATACGAGAGTGGACGCATATTCGTCGCGAAGATGCAAATGTGCGACGCTCATGACATAGGTCATGGGTTTGGTTGGTTGAATCGGGTGGTTTTTTGTGTTTTTTTTTAATTGGTTTTTTTCTATTTTATCCTACAATATTGAATTGACTAGAAATTGGGCTCACTATTTTTTTTCTTATTTGTTTTTATATGATTATTAGGGTTTTATGACTGAGGTCGGAGACTTGGTAAGTTAACTTGAGTTGATATGGGTATATTCAAGTCAATTCAATATATTATCATCTTAATATTTTCTTAAAAAAATTATTATGTTGAATTTTTTAGATAAATTGTTTTTTATTATTTGTTTAGGTTGTCTTTGTATCTATACAGTCAACTAAATCACTTTCGTCAAACCCCACGTTTTTTTTTTTCCTACTAGAAAGCATGTTAAGTAGATCTACATATTTGTTTTACTTCAACCAAAAAAATTAATTTGACCCGCTTCGCAGCGCAATAAATTATCTAGTATCGGCTGAAAGGGAATGGTCCTCTTAACATCATACAAATCCTTGTAGATTTATAGTATGTAGAATTTTAACAGGAACTATGAATATACAAATACGCTTAGCCTAGCAAATAATTACATAATAGCTTTATCTATTGAAGATGATTCTAATTTCCTCAATTATTAAGTAATGGGAAGGTCTGTTATTACTATATATGAAGTTCGTGGATTTTTTGGCTTTCCAATAAAAAAAAAACATAAGTGATATAATAATAATAATAATAATAATAATAATAATAATAATAATAATAATAAAGGAATGATGGTGTCAAGATCAAATTATGGTGGTGAAAGCTAGTCATGCACTATTAAATCCAAATATTATAGTTAATTAGAATGTTCTTCATTTTTATTTTCACTATAATAGAAAGATGAGGTTGAAAATTGAAGGAGATCCAACTTTTACAAGAGTAATATTATTTAGACCATTACCCTACTTTAATTCACCAAACACAGAGAAATTTTAGTCTTGTGAATTTGTAGATTTTACATCCATATCAAATTTAGGTAAAAGTTCAAAATGTTAGATATCAAGATTAAAGTCTTAATTTAATTTTATATATGTATTATTAAGCAGATTTTAAAACTAATTAGTTTTCTAATTGACTAATAAATTAAAACACCACAATCTTTTTAATAATGGGTATTTGATTTTTATTTACAATTATTTAACCTTACAATGAGATAGACTTCGATAAAAACTTGCATACAGAAATTGAGTGAGTCTGGTGGGAGAAAATGGAGATTAAATTGAACAAATATTTCACTTTCTTTCTTCATGAACACATAATAATATAATATAAAAACAAAAACAAATAACACAGGAATTAGTTGAACTACACACCTTGTTTGTAGTAGAGACAGGAACGAACGGAAGATTCACGATCACTTAGACACCCACAACCTCTCTATCAATCGATTGCAACCACAAATATATTCCTTAATGCATGTAGTGTTACTACAATTATGATCTCTCAAGGTTTTTTTCTTTTTCTTTTTAATGAAAATGATGATTAGGGGAAAATTAAGAACGAAAGGACCTGAAAAGAAGACAACAATTAATTAAATGAAGAACACTCTCTGCCACTTCCAAGGATGAAACTCGAGCTATATGATCGTCCCTCTATCCCACTCAAGGAATTTGATTTGCCCATAAAGAAAAAAAGGAAGGCATTCCTTGCTTCAAATTTGGTTTCCTTATGAAGCAAGCTAAAGACAATATTTGAGTGTCCCTATATCCCTCTCGAGCTATATGACTGTCCCCATATCCCACTCAAGGAATATGATTGTCCCTATATCCCACTCGACAACATTTGCAGGCTAAAAGGAATATGATTCTCATTTCAATTTGTTTTGGGTGCATTCATGGGCAAGCGAAAACATTGCTGCTGCATGTACAAAACCAATTTAAGGCATGTAAGATGCCATAAAGCCTTCACCGTACAAAGTTTTAGATACTTCTATCAAAGGAAGATGATAACAATAAAAACATATTTTGTTCTTATAATAAAGGTATTGTGAGCTGGTTTGGAGCTTTCAACCTGTTTTTAATAAAAAAATAATTTTTTTTAAATTGCTTTAATGTGTTTATATAAAAACTGAGTTTTGAAAAATAAAATAAAAGGTATTATTTTGATTAATTTGTAAATAAAAAATAACATTAATCACATTTTTAGATAGACTACTGGTGAACCCATTAAATGGTTTTTTCCTAGAATATCAGGTTTAAAATTGTAGCATAAACCATAAAAAATATTTTTTATATGCAAACGAATCTACGGCCTGCAACTAGATTTTGCATGCAATTCGGGAGGTGTATTAGAGAAATCATGATATGGTATAAAATACAGAGGAAATAAGAAAATTAAAAGCACACAAATTAATTAGACGTCTGCCCTGAAGTGAAATAATTTTGATCATTTAACTATTTATATATTATAAATTGTTTGATAATTTAATTATGTTATAATTAATAGCTATTTTACTGACTCTTTGCTAAGGACCGGGTTTTTACTTTATCAACAAAAAACTTAAGCATGTAAACTTTTTTGACATATTTTTTGACATAAAAAATATCAAGTATAAATTAAAAAATATTATACACACATCTAATTAAATAAATTAATAACGATTTATGTTAACAAATAATAAAATAAAGCCAATAGCTAAATATATATTTGAAAAAGCCAATGAACAAATGTAGATTAAGATATTTAGTTTCGTAATATAATGACTCTGATTATTAAAATTATTTTTTTATTTAATCAAATGATTGTAGAAATAGACACACAAAAAATTAATTGTATCAAATTAAAGAAAAACAATATCTTGAAAGGTTGCACTTCTTAAAAATATTATCCAAAAATAAATATTTTTTATTCTTAAAAATAAATGGGCATGTGCAAGTTTCAACATCAAAGAGCTTTTATTTTAGAAGGTATGTTGATAATAATATAAATCATATCTTGAAATCTCATCTAGAAGTTTAAGCTATTAGGTTGAGATGATTCTTTAATAATGTATCAGAGTCTTATTAATCAAATGGTCACAAGTTTAAATTTTACCACCCCATTCTAATTAATAAAAATTAAGCATAAAGTAATATAGACTTTCACTTGATAATATATATTAAAAAAATAATATATTCATTTTCTTCATGCATATCAAATTTAAAATTTTAAGTTGTGTTGATTTTTTAAAGAAATATACTAATATATCAATTGATACCCTAATCTCATAGTTATTAAATCCAGTTTGATGGTTGACCTGGTCAAAGTGCTGGGTTCCAGGTTTCATGAGCCAACCCAAGTCAACTTGGGTCAACACAGAAAAATTTTTAAAACATTAAAGTTTTACTATTTTATATGAATAAATTAAGAAAAAAAATACATGTAAATATAGGCTATACATATTATAAATAATGAAGTTTAAAAGAATATTTTAAAAAGTTTTTTATCCCACGTTAAAAAGATATTATATTAAGCTTTTAAGTTTAAGTATTTAAACAAAAAAAAAATATCCCATATTGAAAAAGCATAATTTTTTTCTTGTGAACATAGAGCATATATACTAATGGATTTTAAATCTCATATTAAAAAATAAAAACTTTTAAATCTAATGGATTTAGTATAGAATATATATATACTAACGGATTTTAAATCTCACATTGAAAAAATACAGTTTTTTCTTGTAAATATAGAGTATATGTAGTAATGGGTTTCAAATCTCACATTAAAAAGATATTATGTTATCTTTTAAGTTGAAGTATTTAAACTAAAAAGTTTTTTATCCCGCATTGAAAACACATAATTTTTTTCTTGAGAACATAAAGTATATACACCAATGACTTTCAAATCCCATATTTGAAAAAAAAATATACTGAGTCTCACCAAGGTCGTGCCTTGTCTTGACGAGTTGACCCATTAGGTTGGCCGGGTCGTTACACCAGCTGATCTTTTGACAAATTTAGACAAGTTCAACCCCTGAGTCGACCTGTTAAGCCAATCTGAGTTTAAAAATTATATCTAATCTTATTAAAAGAATGAATTAATTGAAAATAATAAGGTACAACTCTTATGCTATCATGTACTATTAAAGAGTTCAAAAGACTTTCATGTGAGTGTTTTTAGGAGTTTAAAGTGTTTTTTGTTTAGAAATATATTAAAATATTTTTTTAATTTTTAAAAAATTATTTTTATTATACACTGGTTTCCAAACAGACTTAATCTAGCTTAAAAAATATTTCTCATGATATTTTTACTTTCACACCTTACCAAGAAACATTCAATATGCATCATCTTAAATCAAAGTTTTTGATACAAGCTTTCAATTGATTTAAGTAAGAATTATGTAATAATAAGTTTATGCTAAGAAATTGCAATTCAAAGTTTTTAGTTGAAAGTTTTTTCCCTACGTTTTCTTTTTCAATCTGGTATCAGTGTTCAATTTTATTTTGTATTTTAAATATAAAAAGAATAATTAAAGAAAAAAAAGTTATACAACTAATAAAAGTGTATTTTAAATAAAAAAAAATTCAAACAATGAAAACAAAACAAAAATATAAAAAAAATAACACTATCAACCATGTTAATCCATTAAGCTTGTAACTATAATCATTTGACCAGAAATAATAAACTTGAAAAAACCTTAACATCTAATTTAATTAATCAAATATTGAAAGATTAAATTAAATAAAAGTAAACATAAAAAAAGAAAAAAAATAGAAATTATAAATTAAAAAAAATAGCTAAGGCTATTGGACCAATCTACCTAACCTATCCGCTAAGTTATAAAAATGGAATAACCCGATAACA